ATTCTCTTTTGCTTCAGTTTGAAAGCCTGTTGTGATAATGCACACACGTACAGAGGCAAGTATGCCCTCCCTAGCAGGCTTGTCAGAGAAAGCATGATTACAGCAGCACATTTACTTCTTATAAGAAGAATATAAAAATTACTAGTTAGTGCAAAAGATAAGCATTATCATAGTGTTTACACACTATGATATGTTTATATTAGATTTTTTAAGTAATATATTATTATACTGTTTTTAGATATATGCATTTTACCAATTTGCATGTATCACTTTGCCCCTGATTGTCACTTCAGTTATTCTTCCAAAATAGAAAATAGAGACTTTAATTTCTTTTGAATTACTGAAATTCTGCATGTCCTATTGCAAAATGGAGGAATATAGTATGAGTCTTGCCCGGTGTTGTGTTGGTTGCTGCTGTGCCACCTTCTAATCATGACTGAATGGACTTGTCCTCCCAGCTTGCAGGACAAATGGTTGAGCTGTTCGTTGTGACTGGTGCGTCTGACAAATGCAGCTGCTTTTTGGTTGCTTGTGAGTGAAGCAGGAATCCAAGCTAGTTGCCATCAAAGCATCCACTCACTCTGGCCACATTAGGATGCCGAGGGTGGCATTTCTGCCTAGGGATTCAGAGAGCTTCTCTTGCAATATTTTCCATTTCTTAGATGTAGCTCACTGAGATCAGAAATACAGCCTATTTTTCGCCGTTCCCTTTCCTCTATAGAGCAGAGCCAGATGAAGCCAGCTGGGCTCTCAAGGATGTTCCCATGCTGAGCTTTGGCAGTCAGGGACGAGCAAATTTCCTCCTCAGTCCCTGCCTAAGAGGCTCATTTAGTGTTGTAAAACACTAATATGAATCCAGATGACCAGTCTCTCCACGTGTAATTGGTAAAGACACATTGCTGCTAGCAAGATGATAATAACAATAGTAGTGATAATGCAACAAATACATGCTGAATAGATGAGTGATAATAAAGAAGTCAAATGCTAAAAAGCGGGTTGTGCCCACAGTCTCTGCATCTGTTTACACAATTTGCTTAATAGGAAATACATCACTGAATGCATCCCTGCAGCAATTCCTGGGCAATGCAGACGCCTTGTTCATCAGGTAGTACCAGCACGTTACGTCAGCAAGCTAGACATTAAAGCAGGGATGTACTGCCTTAGTACTAAGGTTTGTTTAGAATTAACTGCAATGTGAATTGTAAACTTTGTTTAGTTAGATTTTGCAATATTGTTTTGCTAGGCTGGAATAAAATTGGGATGTGAGAGGCCGTTCAATATTGATTTGTCCTTCTAAAAATGAGTTCAGTTTTATTGTTCATTTCTGGCACTGGGCACTCTCTTAAAAAATGAAATTAAATCTTATACTGTAAATTTTCACCACTTATGTAGATAGATTAGTGTCTACAGAATTGAAAAACTCCATGAGAGAAGCACGACCTATACAAACTCAAGTCCTTGCAGTATGCTGATGGTTTTCCATTAGGTAAGATTAATGTTTTTGTTGGGTGAAAAAAGGTATTTAGCAACATCACATTGTTTGCTAGGAATAAATAACTGCTGGACCAATTGCTTTACCCTTGGGAATAAATTGGCCCTTTCAGTGCTTGCCGTTAAATCATTTCTGCAGGATGGCCATAACATCTGCAGCTTCTGATCTGGGGATGGCAGTTGGATCTGGGAGCAAATATCTCCTCCTCCTTCAGATACCCTCCTCCTCTATTTTTCCCTTTCTCAAGCATACAGAAAACAAATTGAAGTCAAATCGTCTTGTCTTGAAGCAAATATACAGCCCAGGGAAAAAAAACGTGTACCTGCACGAGTGTCCTGCTCCCAGCAGGAGCTCCTCGAGTGGGTGGTGAGCGTTGACTAGAGAAAGTGCAGTAGCTAGAGCAGAGCCATGGAGAGGTCCCTCCCTTGGGGTTTCTCTTCATCCCACTTGTTCTTAATCACTGCTTCAAGTCATGTCAATACCCATATGGTTTGCAACCTACATATTCTCTCCTCATAGATCTTCAAATAGCAACAGAGACCCATTATCCTGTCTTTTCCTCCTACAACCTCATTCTTCTCATCTGAGAGCTGTTACTTGAAACTTATATTAATACTGATACATTTGCACTGCATTTTTCATGCAGAAGGTTCTTAAAATGCTGTACAACTTAAACTGATGCAAATTTATATATGAGGATCTTAGATGTAGGACTCCTTGGAGCTATCCTTCCTAATTGTCCGGTATGTAACAGTTAGGCTGCACGACCAGAAATGAATCATTAAATGCTGTGATTCCCAGATACCCAGCTGGAGGCTGGACCTGACTTTGTGCGTGTTAAACATATGTGCTTAATATCGAGTCGCTTTGAAGTGCCTCGAATAATGTGTCCCTAACCAGATCACTTGAGAACGATTAGAGACTTCTGAAAGTGTTGATATAGGCTCCTATATCAACAAATAAAGTGCACTTCCTTTAGGTAGGCAGGCAGAATCTTTTTAAACAGGCACAGCGGTATCAAAATAGATTTTTATTCAAAAAAATGGAAAATAATACTTCCTCCACTTCAATATTTAAGAGAAAGCAAAATCAAGGGAATTAAATTACTTAAATTGAAATTTAATCAGAAACATGCATTAAATTCTTGCAGTCTGGTAAAGGAATGTATTATTCACTGAGTATTAAAAGAACAGGAGATCCTTGTTTTACTTGTAAAACAGCAGTAGTTTGTCTGGAGATCTCAGTCCTGGGCGAGCACCCGCACAGAGTATCTGCCCTTGCATAGAAACATTTCAGGTATTTGCAAAAAAAATCTTCCAGTGTGCAAAAAGCGCTGGTGCTGGGACTTGCAGTCGAGTTGTGCTAATACCCAACTGCAGAAGAAACGAAACATTTCAGGTATTTGCAAAAAAAAGCCTCCAGTGTGCAAAGAGCGCTGGTGCTGGGGCTTGCAGTCGAGTTGTGCTATTACCCAACTCCAGAAGAAATCTGCAAGGTTTGATGGCATTTTTCAGACTGTGAAAACAAGAGAAAAGTGAAGCCAAGAGCAAGCATCACCCATGCTGCGGTGTTGAGGATGGCCTGTGAAGTGGCCAAGGAGAGGATCTTTGAGGACAGTGGCATGGGACAGACCTGAGCTTCCTAAAGATGCTGGACAACTATTTCATACATCTCAGCTTTGCACAGCAAAACTCTATGACTCACTCCCACTGAACTCACTTGTTTTCTCCTGGTTGCTGTAATCAGCAGTCAAAGCACTGTTTGTACCTGCATTTTTGACTGGAGATGCGCTTGTCAAATACTCTGAGCATATGGATAAGCTGTCATGTATGAGGAATTGGCTAAGCCACGCTCAGTTGGCATGCCTTTCCCTTCCAAAAGTGACTTTCAAAGGACGAGACAGGTGCTTGTCAGA